GACTGAAAATTCCCCGAGACGGGATTAGGGGATTTCCACAGCTGAGTAAGAATTAAAGCGAAACTCCAGGATTTTGCAAAGGTAACCCTTGCAGTGTGCCCCGTAACGTGACCCGTAACGTCATGTAGGTCTATTAGGCCTGAAGAAGACATCCAGGGGAGAAAGGTGAGCGGTCACTGCCACAGGACTGAGAGGATGGGGGGGGCAGTTAACCCTTGCAGTGCAGGGGTTTCGCCACTGGAAAGTTTAACTTTTTTGAAATCCTGGGTCTGCTCGGAATCATTCGGATAGATAATTGATATACATCCAGGGCTGCATTCTATGGGGCTGATCTATAATAAAGACTGCCACTAGATGGCGCCGAGCAGTATAGGAAATGTCTATGCTCTTCAGCTCCCTCTAGTGGCAGTCACATGCGTCTTCATGTAACAATACTGTGCATGTTCTGCAGTACTTTGCGGTTGCGTTGGAGACCGTTCTCCGTTTCTTTTGTCACCAGTGGATGGAAGTCTGATCTCTTTTTGTTTTTTAAATGTTGTTTTATGTCCAAAGTCTGATTTTTACTCGCCGTATCAAACGTCAGACACTGAAAGAACTTTGTTCCTCTTTCATTAAGACCAAAAATAGAATTATAGGAGAAGTTCAGGAAGAGTGAAAGATACCCCCCCCCCTCTGCTTAGGGGCAGCGTGGGACGCTGCAGATGTCACATGATGGCTGACTGATCATGTGACCACTGATCAGTCAGCTCTCCAAGTCTTCTCCTAGCAGAGAGGGGTGACTGTCTGTCACTCCTGCAGGGATTCCCCTTTTTTCTCGGAGGGACAGACAGAGGAAGGGGCGATCCTCCATGCAGCCACAGATCACTTCTATTAGGGATCTACTGCTGTAGAGAGTGGCTGGACAGAGCTGCAGCAGCTCCTCCTGAGCCTCCATACCAGGAAGAGGTGCCATGATGTACTCTCAGGCTGCACTCTCAGTGATGTCACCGGTCTCTAGTGAAGGGATAGGCTGCATTCTCAGTGATGCCACCGCTCTCTAGTGAAGGGATAGGCTGCATTCTCAGTGATGCCACCGCTCTCTAGTGAAGGGATAGGCTGCATTCTCAGTGATGCCACCGCTCTCTAGTGAAGGGATAGGCTGCATTCTCAGTGATGCCACCGCTCTCTAGTGAAGGGATAGGCTGCATTCTCAGTGATGCCACCGCTCTCTAGTGAAGGGATAGGCTGCATTCTCAGTGATGCCACCGCTCTCTAGTGAAGGGATAGGCTGCATTCTCAGTGATGCCACCGCTCTCTAGTGAAGGGATAGGCTGCATTCTCAGTGATGCCACCGCTCTCTAGTGAAGGGATAGGCTGCATTCTCAGTGATGCCACCGCTCTCTAGTGAAGGGATAGGCTGCATTCTCAGTGATGCCACCGCTCTCTAGTGAAGGGATAGGCTGCATTCTCAGTGATGCCACCGCTCTCTAGTGAAGGGATAGGCTGCATTCTCAGTGATGCCACCGCTCTCTAGTGAAGGGATAGGCTGCATTCTCAGTGATGCCACCGCTCTCTAGTGAAGGGATAGGCTGCATTCTCAGTGATGCCACCGCTCTCTAGTGAAGGGATAGGCTGCATTCTCAGTGATGCCACCGCTCTCTAGTGAAGGGATAGGCTGCATTCTCAGTGATGCCACCGCTCTCTAGTGAAGGGATAGGCTGCATTCTCAGTGATGCCACCGCTCTCTAGTGAAGGGATAGGCTGCATTCTCAGTGATGCCACCGCTCTCTAGTGAAGGGATAGGCTGCATTCTCAGTGATGCCACCGCTCTCTAGTGAAGGGATAGGCTGCATTCTCAGTGATGCCACCGCTCTCTAGTGAAGGGATAGGCTGCATTCTCAGTGATGCCACCGCTCTCTAGTGAAGGGATAGGCTGCATTCTCAGTGATGCCACCGCTCTCTAGTGAAGGGATAGGCTGCATTCTCAGTGATGCCACCGCTCTCTAGTGAAGGGATAGGCTGCATTCTCAGTGATGCCACCGCTCTCTAGTGAAGGGATAGGCTGCATTCTCAGTGATGCCACCGCTCTCTAGTGAAGGGATAGGCTGCATTCTCAGTGATGCCACCGCTCTCTAGTGAAGGGATAGGCTGCATTCTCAGTGATGCCACCGCTCTCTAGTGAAGGGATAGGCTGCATTCTCAGTGATGCCACCGCTCTCTAGTGAAGGGATAGGCTGCATTCTCAGTGATGCCACCGCTCTCTAGTGAAGGGATAGGCTGCATTCTCAGTGATGCCACCGCTCTCTAGTGAAGGGATAGGCTGCACTCTCAGTGATGTCACCGGTCTCTAGTGAAGGGATATATACAAAAGATGCTTGAATGCTCTTTTTTTCTCCTCCAGAACCTCCGCAGATATACGTCTACACCCGAGACCCAATCAAAAATGGAGAACCGAACGAGCTGATCTGCCACTGCAAGAACTTCCATCCTCCCATCATTGATCTAAAGCTGAAGCACAACGGTGAAGAGTACAAGGACTTGTTCCAGTCTGACATGTCCTTCGACCAGGACTGGTCCTACTACATCACCAAATCCTCCAAATTCACACCACAAGAGGGGGTTAAATACAGCTGCGATGTCAAGCACAGTGATGGTCCAGTCAAGTCCATCGTCCTGGATATGGTACGTTCCCGGGCTGCTCACATTCAGTGGGGAACCTAGTCATTAATGGTCCGCTCCAGCCGGTCATTCCGTGTACCCCTTCAGAGGTCCTTCCAAAGTCATAAGCCGTTTTTTGTAAATTCACCTGCCTGAAATTTGCCACACAACAGCTGAAAGTCATCAGGCTTGAGGCGGTAGTGGCTGATGGATGGGGGGACAGTTAATTTAGCATAAAAGAGGGCAGCGCCAAGGCGGGAATGTGGGTGGAGATATGCTAAGCGGGCCGGAGTGGGCTCACGGGTGCAGATTGTGTGCCGGGTAATACGTGTCCCATGAGTTGGGCTTTAGTTACTGTTTAAAGGGCCAGACCACCAACCAAGAAACCCAATTAAACCCGAGCACATAATACAAGTTTGTTTTTCTTTAAAGCCCGAAACACCCAAAACGTGAACAAAAAAAGTGCATGTGAACACACACAAAAAGGGTGCTATCTAAAGGGTCCGTCTCCCGAAAAGACAGGGCCCATCCCTGAATCCCGGGGGCGCAAGGCTCCTGACCGGGTCAAGGCACTCGTGTCCACCTGGCCGGAACCAGGCGGACCCATTCCTCATAGCCAACCGAAACCGACCACAAGGTTGAGGGCTCCCCCGATTCAGGGGAGGAAGGAACCTGAGGGCCACACATCCTCCCACTAGACTTCAGCGTAGGCCCGAAGACCCGCACCCTCCATCCTGTGGAGTGAAAGGTGCACAAACAGCGAGAAAAATAATTTAGAGTGCCAATGTGGATACAATGGCTAGGCCTTGCGGCCCGGGAATAAAAATGACCCTCTGTCATCAGTGTGTCATGTGTGCCGACTGTGTCTAAAGTGCATCAGCCGGGGTTACTGTCAATGAAAAGCACATGTCAGGACTATCAGTAGATCTGTCCCGGACCTTCAGAAATACCCGGGGCCACACATAGAGCGTTATAGACATCTGAAGTTACATACAGATCTCACCTTGTTCTTCCTGAGCCTTCCTATTGGTCCTTTGATATGATGATGACCTCCTTGACCATGAGGGAACTGCAGGGGGTGGGAAGGGGTGGGCTGAAGATGTTGAGATTGGTACATAACTTCAGCTGCCATGTGCTTTCACTTCTATATAGATAAGGGGGGGTGTTGCCTTACCTCCTGGTTCTTGCATGTCATGAAGGCACCAGTGGTGATATCTTAACACTATACAGTGGCGTCACAAGGGGGGGTGGGGCCCGCACCCGAGTGCCACCATTGGAGGGGTGACCCCCCTAGGAAAATGGTGCCACCCCCTGTAAATAGTCGGGCACTCGGTCATGGACCGAGAGCCTGACAGTGTCAGGAGACAGGAGGGGACCCGGCGGCATACCTCATCCCGCCGGGTGACTGTCCCCTCCTCTCTCTGCCGGCATCCATCACCAAGATGGCTGCCGGCAGGCGTCAATAAGAGGACCGCGCATGCCTAGATGACATCACGGTGGGGTGTCACCCCTTCTACGCTCTGGGTGACACCCGGCCTCGGGACGCCCCTGACACTATAGTCCCTGAATGTGTCCCTGACTGCCACTCCTCCTGCATTTTGGATAAAGAGGAACAAGGAAGTGAGAGCTGATATAAATGGCGGCAGGTGGGCGGAGCCGGGATCTCAGGAATATATGTGAATACGGCTACTGACTACGCCCGGGTAGGAGCTAACAAGGGTGACAATATAGTAACACGGACTGGAGACATAGCCACTCGCTATGACCCAAGTGATTGTACATTCCGGGTGGGTGCCATGTACTGACGTTCTTCCCGTCTTCTCTTTCCAGAACCCCTGATGTCACGTGCTAGAGGAGGTATGTACAGTGTCTTCTGGTTTGTCCTCTCATCAATAATGGGCTGCAGGAACATTGTGTGACCGAGGGTTTGTGGACTCCCGACCATCACGCCTATATGAACCTATTGGACATCCCCTTCCAAAACCATGACCAGTAATATGGAGTCCCATCACCCCTTCCTTTGTGGCCATGACATCCTTCATAGGGGAGGGTTTGGAGGGGGTCTGTGGGAATTGGTGCCCATTTGTGAGGTCAGGTGCTCATGTTGGATGGGAAGACCCGGCTCACAGTGGACGTCTCAATTCCCAGAGGTGTTCAGTAGGGTTGAGTCCAGGGCTCAGTGCAGGACACTCGAGTTCCTCCGTGAAGACACCGCTGGTGAGATGCACTTGGTGATGTAACTTTACACATGGAATACAAAGAACTTTGCTTGGAGAAGCTTTGGAGTGCCGGTGACTTACTGTTGTGTTCCTCCACACCGAGCTGGTCACACCGTGTCTTTATGGAGCTGGTTTTGTACACGGGGGATAGTCACGGTGGAACATAAAAGGGTCTTCACCAAACTATTACCACAAGGCTGGAAGAGCACAATTGCCTACAATGTCTTTGTATGATGGAGTATTAATAGTACGCTTCACTGGAGACACCTGTAATCATTTGGAGGGGGTGTTCTATCAAAGTTTGTGACTGGGTTGGAATGTGTGACCCGGTGGCGTGGTCACACATTTTACCGTAATCCCGCCCAGTTCTTCGGGGGTGGAATGTGTGACCGGCAAAAGGTGAAGCATTCCAACGCTTTCTCAGCTGTTCCAGGGCAGATCGGCATCGCAGATGTTATGCGCAGGAGAACCGATCGGCCCTGAAACAGCCGATCGGTCCTAAAATGTCACTTCTATCCGACTCTGCGGAATGTAAGATCGCACTCAGAGTCGGATAGAAGTGACATTTCAGGATCGAGCAAATCGGTTCTCCTGCACAAACCATCTGCGATGCCGATCTGCCCTGGAACGGCTGAGAAAGCATTGGAATTCTTCACCTATTGGCGGTCACATATCCCCCCGGCGAAAAAATGGGCGGGATCATGTTAAAATGTGTGACCAGTCACACATTCTATTGTAGTCACAAACTTTGATAGGACAGGGGGTCCACGTACTATCGGCCATATAGGTGGGTGGGATGGTCTGGTGTCCACAATCTTTGGCCATATAGTGTTGATGAAGGAGAGGGAGGATGCCCCCTAGTGACAGATAATGGGTACTACAGCCATGGTTTTTACATTGGGTGTAGACAATGACAGCATTGTAACCTTTAATTGATCGCCTGTGTCTGTTTTTCCCCCTCGCAGCCAGTCGCACGGATCAAAGCATTCCAGCACATCGTTAGCCGGCGTTACCACCTACTGGCCAGCACGGGGAACCTCCTCGCACCATCAGAGGGTCCCACTATCTACTATTTGGGTTAATTTGTTGCCTTTCGCTGATTTCGACCTTTTTGCTCCGCCTCTCTTAAACCGTATCTCTTCCCCCTTTTGTGTGAACATTGAAGTGTATAGGAAATAATTTATAGCACTGGGGTGGTCACATGACCCGCCCCCCGGGACTTTGGGCTGAATCCCGGGCCTGTGTCCGGCTTCCACATCATGAGTTTTGTGCCGACGTTATAAAATGTTCATAAATGTGCCAAAACCCCAAATGACGCGGAGACGCGGCTTTCAGCATTCACAGATACGCCGGACGTCAGTCACGGAAGGTGGCCGGGTCACTTCTTAAAGGGTTTTGGTGACTTTACAGCGGAACTTTGAATGCTGTGTCCCCCATAGAGGAGACTGGTCACCAGGACAGGAAGTAAGGGGAGGTCTCCCTCCTGGGGACACACACACATAGAAAATGTCTTTTTACTGCTGGTGGGCACCTGCAAGGGAACAGACTCCTGATACCTGTGTGACCCTTTTTCTTGCATCGTCAGGCTGATTTATTAAAGCTTCGCTCAGCGTATCGCCGGGTGAATGCCATTTACACATCATGACAGCCTCTAGGTGGCGCCGATGAGCATAGGGAATACCTGTGCTGCTCTAGCTCCATCTAGTGGCCGTGATTGTGTGTGAACGGCATTCACCCGGCGACGTCTAGACCCCTGTGTGTCGTATCTGTGAATGCTGCATTTCCCATGATATCGCATTGTATTTACACATCACATGTTCAGAGATTGGAAGTTATTTTTAGAAATGCATCCCCGTGGAACCCGACATTCAATATGAACATAGTAATCCATAGTGACGAAGTATTTCAATATGGACTATGATGGCGTCCCCGTGCCTTTAACTGCCGCAGTCACTTGCAGCCGTTTACATTCGTCCTCTCCTGTCCCTCCCCTTCAGCACGTCATAGCTCTGCAGACACAACGCACTGACATCCCAGCAGTAACAACCTGCGTCTATATACCAGCCCCGTGTACTATGTATGTATACCATGTGTTATGCTTTTTACATCCACGTGGGCGATGTTTAGTAGTCCGTCCATGCTATAAAAATGCAATTCCGGGCTACTGGTCCTCCTCTCCAGCACCATCCACCGCAGTACCTCATTTACACCAGCAGATGTCCCCGGTCTTCCTTGCTGAATGATACATAGACTCAGGTAAAGGAGGAGGTCCTCTGGGGTGGGGAGGGGGAGTCCATTGAACACATGATGACTTGGTGATCACAGACTAGTAGTGCGATTGACCCTTTAATAATTGCCGACATGACCCCCGACCTCATGCAGACAGAGGAAGGAGCCCATTGCATCATGGGAGCTGTGTTTGGTGATGGAGAGGGTGATCCCATCCCCGGCGGGTGTCGCTGGCAGTTCCAGGCACGGCGGACGCAATGCAAAGTATCATGTTGATGGCGGCTCTTGTCGTGTCCCCGCAGTGCTCCGCCTCCTCTGTATATACAATATAACATGAATCACAAGTATCACTTTTTTTGTTGATTTTGCTTTTTTTTGGCTTTTATCTGCTTGCACTGGATTGAGGGGGGAGGGGGGGTCCTTCAAATATTATTTTGTTGTGCTAATCTTGGGGGGAGGGGGAGGGGCTATATCAAAGATTTGTAATGCTGTTTTCCTCATTTTCATCCAGTAATTATACCGACAGGAAAACTATTTTCAATAAATGTTTTAATAAGGAAGAATTGTGCGTGCGTTGTATCTGATTTATTGTTGTCATAGTCACTGGACCGGACCAGTCACCCTGCACGAGGAGAGAGAGCAGCAGTGACTGGTCTTTATTACAGGAAGGGGCGGAGACAAGACCAGTCACCCTGCACAAGGAGAGAGAGCTGCAGTGACCGGTCTTTATTACAGGAGGGGGCGGAGACAAGACCAGTCACCCTGCACAAGGAGAGAGAGCAGCAGTGAGCGGTCATTATTACAGGAGGGGGGCCTGCCTGTGTCTTATGGGATTTGTAGTTCACCAGCAGAGAGTTCAGTGTCAGCGATGAGTCTGTTGAGTGATTTGTTTTCCTGTCGGGTTCATTTCACCTCCCGCTGAGCTCCCAGAACCGGTCTGACAAGAACCTACAGGACGGGATCCAAGCTGTGGGCACCGCCATGTCATAGACACCGACATTCCCTGCCAGCCGGGGGTAGTTTCTGCCCACACAAGAGAAGCTGCAGACATCACAGTAAATTAAGCAGGCCTTGCACAGGGCCTCTGGGCAGGACGGCACCTCTGGTCTGTGTTATGAAACCTCCAGTGTGGGTGACACCCTATCCTACACAGAGCTCAGAACCCGGGAACACAGGGCTGCTTTTGCTCAGGTTCAAATAGACCAGAGGTAGGCAACCTCAGCACCCCAGCTGTAAAAGAAACTACAACTCCCATCATGCCTTTACCTCTGGGAGTCATGCCTGTGGCTGTCAGAGTCTTGCCATGCCTCCTGGGACTTGTAGTCTCACCAGAGTTGGGAGTGCCGAGGTCGCTCACCGCTGATCTTGCATTTAATGCAGAGGTAAGCAATGTTGCCACTCCAGCTGTGTTGAAACTACAACTCCCATGATGCCTCTGAGAGTTATGCCTGTGGCTGTCAGAGTCTTGCCATGCCTCCTGGGACTTGTAGTCTCACCAGAGTTGGGAGTGCCGAGGTCGCTCACCGCTGATCTTGCATTTAATGCAGAGGTAAGCAATGTTGCCACTCCAGCTGTGTTGAAACTACAACTCCCATGATGCCTCTGAGAGTTATGCCTGTGGCTGTCAGAGTCTTGCAATGCCTCATGGGACTTGTAGTTCCACAACAGCCGGAGTGCAGAGGTTGCCCACCCCTGATTTAGTGAGTATGGTGGTCAGCAGAGGACAGGCGCCACCTGCTGGCCAAAAAATGTCAATGCAATTTATATTATATTAAATGGAGAATATTATACCCCCGAACCATCGTACATCCCCTTTAAGGATGGTCAGGTGATCGTGACGGCACATACATAGACTACAAGAGACATAGGATTCCTAATTCTTCCAGGATGGAACCACTTCAGTGCCAGGGCATCTGTCATGTGATCTCTGCTGGAGGGAAAGTTACTGCTCGGTCCCCTAACCCACTTCTGCAGAGACCATGTGACCGATATGCCACCATAAGGTCATGTGACTGGGATAGGGAGACGGCTATCTGTCAGACACCTTCTAAATGCCTTGCGGGAGGGGACACGAGCACCAATGCTATTTCCAGAGGAAGCTAGCCAAAGATTTACCCCCCCAGTACCCATCCAAAATGGAAAAGCAGCAATCTATAAGATTCATTGTAATATAATTGGATGAGGAGTGATTAATACCCTGTTTCCCTGAAAATAAGACCTAGCACTATTTTTCAAGATTCCTGTAATATATAAGACCTAACCCGAAAATAAGACCTAGTTTGGTGGTAGCATGTGAGGGGGAACTTGCAGGAGAGATGGTATCAGCCTGCAGGGACACACTGTATTAAGGGGATGACAGGGGACTCCTTCCGGCCAGCGCAGTGACAGTCTTCTATGTGACCTCCGTCCTCCCCTTCAGTCCTCTATCTGACCTCCGTCCTCCCCTTCAGTCTTCTATCTGACCTCCGTCCTTCCCTTCAGTCCTCTATCTGACCTCCGTCCTCCCCTTCAGTCTTCTATCTGACCTCCGTCCTCCCCTTCAGTCTTGCACAGTTGTACCGGCTCCTCTGATGTCCCTGCACACTGGGAGTGTCTCACAATGTACATTAGAACCATTTCGTTACTGCAACATCATCTAGCTCTTTCCTCTCCAGCCAGACTGAGTGTCCCTGGCCCCGCCCTTTTCATTCATTGGATTTAAGTTCCTTCAATGGAGGCTCAGCGTCACACGTGGGCGTTACCTAATCAAATGTGGCCAGCCTAGGAACGCCCACTCCTCCAGACTGACACCCGCCCATCAAGGCATTTTGATATTTGCATAACTCCTCCCAGGAGCCCGCCCACTGCCTGTATCGGGACTGAGGGCTGTTGACTTTATGTAACAATGTAACGGAGACGCCATGTAAATAATTGGACGGAAGCGCGTCGTGTAAAAACAAAAAGACACAACTTTATTTTCTGACGCGGCCCGACGCGGGCTCTACGAAGGGGGCGGCCCATCCTGGCGGGCGGCGGCGGTCTGGGAGGAATGTGAGCGGGTTGCGCTGGCGGGAAGCGAGCTCCGATCCTGAGAACCTTCGGCGGAGGAAACGGTGTGAAGATTGGCGGTGGGCGCTGGAAGCCGTCGTTAACCCCTTGCTGGCCGGAGGAGAGGGGAGCGCGCTGCTCTGCAATGCGTCCTGGCCCCACCCCCCATGGCGAGATAAGGTTAAAAAAAAAATATCCATCGTCTGCGTCCAGCGCAGGAAACGATATATATACATATATAGATATATATACACCTTCTATACATATATATATATATACACAGTGATTGGGTAGCAGCTTCCTTCATCTTCCTTGCGGGTGATTGGAGGTTCCCACAATGGCGACCTGCGCGGAACAAAGAGCGACAGTCAGCGTTCTGCAGAGCATCTCACCTCCCACTGTTACAAGTCTGCAGAGCATCTCACCTTCCACTGTTACAAGTCTGCAGAGCATCTCACCTTCTACTGTTACACGTCTGCAGAGCATCTCACCTTCCACTGTTACAAGACTGCAGAGCATCTCACCTTCTACTGTTACACATCTGCAGAGCATCTCACCTTTTACTGTTACAAGTCTGCAGAGCATCCCACCTTCTACTGTTACAAGCCCGCAGAGCATTGCACTGGTGTCTAATGATCAATATAAGCCTGCAGAGCATTGCACTGGTGTCTAATGGTCAATACAAGCCCGCAGAGCATTGCACTGGCGTCTAATGATCAATATAAACCCGCAGAGCATCGCACTGGTGTCTAATGGTCAATATAAACCCACAGAGCATGGCACTGGTGTCTAATGGTCAATACAAGCCTGCAGAGCATTGCACTGGTGTCTAATGGTCAATACAAGCCTGCAGAGCATCACACTGGGGTCTAATGGCCAATACAAGCCTGCAGAGCATTGCACTGGGGTCTAATGGTCAATACAAGCCCGCATAGAATTGTACTGGTGTGTAATGTCTAATACATTCTGCAGAGCATTGCACTATAGCCTATTGGCTAAAAGAAGCCTGCAGAGCATTGCACCGATGTCTTATTTCTAAGTCTGAAGTCTTAGCAGAGTATCTCACCTTCAGTGTATGAGGAGTTCCTCCGCTGAATGGGCTCCGGTCTCCTCTATGGGAGCTGCAGAGGGAACCAGACATCATTATAATAGGAAAATGTAACAATCAAAAAAGGGGAAAAAGAGAGGCGGGGGGGAGAGAAGAGAGAGGGGAGAGAGGGGGGAGAGAGAGGGAACCAAATTTAACACACCTGCTCCCCATTCACACCTGAGACCTTGTAACACTAACGAGTCACATGACACCGGGGAGGGAAAATGGCTAATTGGGCCCAATTTGGACATTTCCACTTAGGGGTGTACTCACTTTTGTCGCCAGGGGTTTAGACATTAATGGCAGTGTGTTGAGATATTTTGAGGGGACAGCAAATGTACACTGATATACAAGCTGTACTCTCACTACTTTACATTGTAGCAACACACTCACTGGTGAATTTATTTTTCCGGCGGCAGTGAATCAGGTACACGGTGAGGGTGATGATGAAGGTGAACAGGAAAGCAGCGACGGCAACGCTGACGATGACCCATAGCAACGGAAAATCCGCCTGTTTATCCTCGGAGTCGCCTGAAAGAAACGAGGAGAATAAAGTGTGAGAACTTCCTGTGACGTCTGACTCTCAGACACTCGCCGGTGCCCGCTATTTATTGATGGATAGGAACCGCCAGAGCCCGCTATCATGCCTCTGTGTGTCACAGCCCCGCCTCCTGATCAGTGATGTCACATGACCAAGGGCAGGGGATGCACCTAACTGTCACCTACAGGATGATTAGACAGCATCTCATAGGTGGGGGGTCACTGCAGGTGGTTTTGCAAGGTGGCAAACTATTGGCGGAGGGGCAGGTATGTAATGGGAGGGGCAATAGAAACTCTTCCCTGGGCCACGCCCCCTTTCTATGCCATAAAAGATGGCTGCCGTCTTTTTTAGAGCCCCCGGGGGCCCCGGTGCGGTCACTTACATGTCTGGCAGAAGTCGTCCTTGCTGGAAATCTCGCACAGCCTGCAGTCTTTACACCTCTCCAGATCTCTGCTCCACCGGAACCCCTTCTCGCACACCGTATCTGCAAAGAAAAAACAAGGAGGACGTCAGGGCTAAGGGGTCAGGTGTTCATCGCTCGGCGCCGCCGTCATCGCTTATAACCGGCGCCGGTGAGGTCAGCGCACTTCTATTACCGAGGGTGACAAATCCCATCATGTAATGTGATAGAGAAACCAATCAGATACAGCCGACGCGTTTCGGGGCTCACAACTCCCCTTCCTCAGGGCTCGTGTGCTGGGCATTGTATAATACGGGGATTAGGATGATTGCGGGTCACCAGTCTGGCAGCCGGCAGTCATTCTGATCCTTGGATGTCCCTCTAGCCGAGGCAGCTAGAGAACGGAACCTGGGAAATTGCCGGCTTATGCCCGGAGATGCCGGATTTTCATTGGCTCTCAGGGTGAAAGCCAGTAAGGTCCCAGATAAAAGTCACATAGAGCCACATTAGTGCAACCTCCCGAGCCGTGTATGAGGATCTCTCCCCTCCCCCCCGTGTTCTTTACAGTAAGAGCAGTAAAGAGCCGGCTCGAAGCACATAAGGGGTCCGATCACTTGGAGTACTTCACTGCATGGAGTATGACATATGTACGGCAGAATGTGCAGCTGTGTGTCACCGTACGCTGTGTATATATAATCGGTGACACATGTGTTTGTTTATCTGGTGGTGTCACCGGCCGCTCTGGGCCGATGATGTCACCGCGCCGGTCAGACCGATGTGGAAACCCATCCGAGGTCTATATATACACGGCTCGGGTCAGAGAGTCTATGTGCACACGTCTTGCTGGGTCAGCAGAGTCCGAGGTTATCTCATATGTCATGTGATCACGCTAAGGGGGCCACACAGCACACTGCCCACAGACCTCCAAGACGTGTCACATGATCAGTCTGTATGTGACAAGTCCACTGACCCCGGACAGTTATATGTGGGACTGGATGGTGGGAGCCCCTCATAATGGGCACAGCGGGTGTACAGACTCGGGAACTCAGCACAGGGATGGTGGGGGCCCCTCATAATGGGCACAGCGGGGGTACAGACCCGGGAACTCAGCTCAGGGATGGTGGGGGCCCCTCATAATGGGCACAGCGGGGGTACAGACCCGGGAACTCAGCTCAGGGATGGTGGGGGCCCCTCATAATGGGCACAGCGGGGGTACAGACCCGGGAACTCAGCTCAGGGATGGTGGGGGCCCCTCATAATGGGCACAGCGGGGGTACAGACCCGGGAACTCAGCTCAGGGATGGTGGGGGCCCCTCATAATGGGCACAGCGGGGGTACAGACCCGGGAACTCAGCTCAGGGATGGTGGGGGCCCCTCATAATGGGCACAGCGGGGGTACAGACCCGGGAACTCAGCTCAGGGATGGTGGGGGCCCCTCATAATGGGCACAGCGGGGGTACAGACCCGGGAACTCAGCTCAGGGATGGTGGGGGCCCCTCATAATGGGCACAGCGGGGGTACAGACCCGGGAACTCAGCTCAGGGATGGTGGGGGCCCCTCATAATGGGCACAGCGGGGGTACAGACCCGGGAACTCAGCTCAGGGATGGTGGGGGCCCCTCATAATGGGCACAGCGGGGGTACAGACCCGGGAACTCAGCTCAGGGATGGTGGGGGCCCCTCATAATGGGCACAGCGGGGGTACAGACCCGGGAACTCAGCTCAGGGATGGTGGGGGCCCCTCATAATGGGCACAGCGGGGGTACAGACCCGGGAACTCAGCTCAGGGATGGTGGGGGCCCCTCATAATGGGCACAGCGGGGGTACAGACCCGGGAACTCAGCTCAGGGATGGTGGGGGCCCCTCATAATGGGCACAGCGGGGGTACAGACCCGGGAACTCAGCTCAGGGATGGTGGGGGCCCCTCATAATGGGCACAGCGGGGGTACAGACCCGGGAACTCAGCTCAGGGATGGTGGGGGCCCCTCATAATGGGCACAGCGGGGGTACAGACCCGGGAACTCAGCTCAGGGATGGTGGGGGCCCCTCATAATGGGCACAGCGGGGGTACAGACCCGGGAACTCAGCTCAGGGATGGTGGGGGCCCCTCATAATGGGCACAGCGGGGGTACAGACCCGGGAACTCAGCTCAGGGATGGTGGGGGCCCCTCATAATGGGCACAGCGGGGGTACAGACCCGGGAACTCAGCTCAGGGATGGTGGGGGCCCCTCATAATGGGCACAGCGGGGGTACAGACCCGGGAACTCAGCTCAGGGATGGTGGGGGCCCCTCATAATGGGCACAGCGGGGGTACAGACCCGGGAACTCAGCTCAGGGATGGTGGGGGCCCCTCATAATGGGCACAGCGGGGGTACAGACCCGGGAACTCAGCTCAGGGATGGTGGGGGCCCCTCATAATGGGCACAGCGGGGGTACAGACCCGGGAACTCAGCTCAGGGATGGTGGGGGCCCCTCATAATGGGCACAGCGGGGGTACAGACCCGGGAACTCAGCTCAGGGATGGTGGGGGCCCCTCATAATGGGCACAGCGGGGGTACAGACCCGGGAACTCAGCTCAGGGATGGTGGGGGCCCCTCATAATGGGCACAGCGGGGGTACAGACCCGGGAACTCAGCTCAGGGATGGTGGGGGCCCCTCATAATGGGCACAGCGGGGGTACAGACCCGGGAACTCAGCTCAGGGATGGTGGGGGCCCCTCATAATGGGCACAGCGGGGGTACAGACCCGGGAACTCAGCTCAGGGATGGTGGGGGCCCCTCATAATGGGCACAGCGGGGGTACAGACCCGGGAACTCAGCTCAGGGATGGTGGGGGCCCCTCATAATGGGCACAGCGGGGGTACAGACCCGGGAACTCAGCACAGGGATGGTGGGAGCTCCTCATAAAGAAATGATGGCAGTGAAATCTCGCTGTTGAAGGATCCAATACAAATTAGGATCTGACTTGGCCCCCATGGCTCCACCTCTGGCCACTATTGGGTGGTCTACCCTCGGCTGGTACAGGTATCTCCTGATGACATAGAAGGTTCTGCGCGTTTCCCAGACCAGCTGACCGGGTAATTTGGAGGCCATTGTAGGTCCGGCTGTGGGTCTCCTCAGGTCTGTAGACGTCTAACATAAGAGGAGGGACTCTGCGTTGGTTTCATATCTTCGGGTGCCATGTGGGTGGTCTCTCCCCCCTCCTCTCTCTCTCTCTCCCCTCCTCTCTCCCCTCCTCTCTCTCTCCCCTCCTCATCTGTGTCCCCCTTGAGGAGATTTACCCTCACTTCCTGTTGTGTCTCCCCCACAATAAAGGGGGGATCCCACCTCTGGCAGCTGCCTGGGGTCCCCACTGAGAGATGTCACCTCTGTGCTTCTTCTGGAGACAACTGTAGCTCTTTGGACCCAACTTCCTGTCCAGGGAATCTGCTCACCGGGACAGGAAGCAAAGGGAAATCTCTCAGTGGGGACACCAGACAGCTGTCCCCAGAGCAATAGAAACTGCAGCAAGTGGACACAGCAATACAAACCGGCAGCGCTGGAGCGCAAAGAAAAAAAGAGGTTGGAACCATTCTGTATATCCCCGGTGCCCAACCTGTGGCCCTTTATGATGTGGCCCTCAGGCCCCTGCATTGATCTGTAATGGGCCTGTGGCAGTGACCTCTTATAACATCTCCCCCAGCAGTCTCCGGCCTCATATTTCCAGCCTTCAGCTGTTACCGGACTCCAACCATCTCCATCAGCAGTCCCTGAGAATCCTCTGTATACACTGAATAATAACTGTGGCCCCTGGGGACATCAGGGGCCACAGATGAGGAACCCTGTGTCTAGTAAGTTCTACCCCTTCCCTGATCTATGGAGGTTCCCCTGTGTCAGACTTTGTAACTTTGTATATTGGAATCTTCTCATCGCTACAAATGTTACAATAACATACATGATACAGGCAGCACTCCGCCGCCACACGCGTGTTTTCTATTAACCCGGAGAGACGTCCGCACACGTGTGCCCCAGACAGACGTGATGGGAGAAGGTCGGGGAACAAATGTTTCCCATTTAGAAGGATCCGGATAACGCCAACGAGCCGCGTATCCCAGCAACGGAATGTTTCCTGGGAATCTCCCGTCAATAATCAGGCGATTGGCGGGTGAGAGAACTCCGAGTCTTGCGCAATACACCGCGGGATAGAAGGTGGCGACATATTGATCGAATACCCTAATATATAGGACTGGCCCCGCCCCTTTCATTCATTGGATTTCAGTTCTGTCAATCATGGAGTCTCAGCATCACATGTGGGCGTTAACTATGAAAATAGTGACTGCCTAGGAACGCCCACTCCTCAAAACTGCCTTTCCCTGGCCCCGCCCCTTTCATTCATTGGATTTCAGTTCTTTCAATCATGGACTCTCAGCATCACATGTGGGCGTTACCTATGCAAATACGGACTGCCTAGGAACGCCCACTCCTCAAGACTGCCTTTACCTGGCCCCGCCCCTTTCATTCATTGGATTTCAGTTTTTTCAATCATGGAGGCTCGGCATCACATGTGGGCGTTACCTATGCAAATATAGCATGTGGGAACGCCCTCTCCTCCAGGCTGACTGTCCCTGGCCCCGCCCCTCTCATTCATTGGATTTCAGTTCCATCAATGGAGGCTCAGCATCACATGTGGGGGCGTTACCTATGCAAATACACCCTGTATGGGAACGCCCACTCCTCCAGACTGACACCCGCCCATCAAGGCATTTTTTTTTGCATAGCTCCTCCCCAGAGCCAGCCCACTGCTTGTACCAGGGCTGAGGGCTCTTGAAAGGAGTACTGAGACAGGGTGCTGTTATGTTTTCAGGAAGCTATGTACAGCAGCCTGCCGGCCCCTCCCACCAGCTATGTACAGCACCCTGCCGGCCCCTCCCACCAGCCATGATCTGCCTGAAGTGCACAGAGACCCAGTGATGACATCACCAGGATTAAAATAAAGTGGGTAAGAAAGGTTTTATTTAAAAAAAATAAAATAATTATCATGTTGATAAGGGGGGAGGGGAGGAACCAGGGACGGCAAAATAAAAGCAGACCCCCACCCCGTGCTCCCTCCCAGCTGCCAGCTCATCTATATACCTCCCATGCCTATGAGCAGCCTCTTTCACTGCAAGCCTGATTTCAGCTTTCACCTGGTAGAAAATCAGCTGAATTGATGGATATAAGCCAATCAGACGCTGCCATCCGCCCTGCCATAGTGCCAAATGTGCAGCGGAAGCTATCTTTGGATCATCACAATAGAAACAGGAAACGAAATTCCTGTAAAATGTGACGCCGGAAAATGCCATTCGGACATCGACCCGTCGGACCGGCTGCGGTATCAGGTGACAGTCCAGGAAAGTCCACCGGGGAGGGGCCTGCGCCTTTAAGGAGCTATAAAAAGATGCATTCCTTTGGGTACGACATCATCTCCAGCCGGCCAATCAGAGACGAGCAGGGGGGCGGGACCTCCCACAAGCATGTGAGCTTGTTCATTGAACTTCATTCATAAAAAAAAAAAAGGGAGTTGGGCAAATTCTGCAGACTATCACTCCCCATGATGTGTTACTGCAGAGCCTCTCCCTAGAGATGTAGGCTGATGTGGATGGGGGGAGTGGTGAGCGCCAGGAGGGACTACAAGTCCCAGCATGCTGTATAGAAAGGTTGGGTGACATGTAGGCTCATTCATTGGTTAAGGAGCTGCAGGCATGCTGGGACTTGCTGTTCTTCGACTGCGGCAAAGCAGTGGCTGATCCTTCTCTACACCCGTCCTAAAGGGGAACACTGCAGATGATCGCACCTCAGGATTTGGCTGCTGCGCTACATAAGTGGGCCGACCCAAATGGTGCCATGTGACAGGGGATGGTTGTCAAAGGGTTGGGGAGCTATGGAGGAACCACAAGTGCCAGCATGCCCATCTCTTCTCAACACTCTACACTGCAGATGATTGCACCCGATGATTTCTGCTGCAGATGGCACAATCTAAGAGCTTTCAGCGACGGAGGAACCACAAGTGCCAGCATGCCCAGGGCAAGCCAGGACCTGAACTTCCCCACAATGCGGCTCAAGTGTTTTATTGGTGAACTACAAATCTCAGCACATGGTGCTATATGCAAGTTTATGACCCCCCTCCCCCAAACATATATACCAGAGTCTCCCTCCTCATGCTGCGCCTTTCATATTAAATAAATAATCCAGGGGAGCTGGAGCCTTTTCTATTGGCCGCAGCAGGTAGGCGGAGCTGGGAACCCAGGAGAGGTCTCAGGAGCTGTGTTCTTTGCTGGCTACTGGTGCAGATATCTCACCGCTGGTGTCCCCAAGAGATGAAAGAAGCCAGGGGGGTGACTCAGCCCAGCACCCTCCCCTCCAACAGCGAAATATCACTGCGGGGTGAACTGGCCCTTTAAGCCGGGACATTGGTGAACACCCATCATGGGCCCCTATATGTGACACAAGTCATTTGTACATTACACAGGTCATAGGTCACAGGTCGTTTGTACATTACATAGGTCACAGGTCATTTGTACATTACACAGGTCATAGGTCACAGGTCATTTGTACATTACATAGGTCACAGGTCATTTGTACATTACACAGGTCATAGGTCATTTGTACATTACACAGGTCATAGGTCATTTGTACATTACACAGGTCATAGGTCATTTGTACATTACACAGGTCATAGGTCACCGATTTCCCTTTTTTTGGTTTGATCGTCGGATATTTTTGGATATTTTCCAGCGCGCTGGTAGATCCCAAAGCTTTTTATTTCGCTACAATGCTCCCAATTCCATGATCACATGACCTCTCAGCTCTGGGTGTTCTCATGTTGGGTCTCTCTCATTGACATGTTGTATTAATCATATAGCGGTGGCGGCATACAATGTGCTCCTGACGCCCATCCCCCTCCTCCCCCCTCCCCGCAGTGACGGCATCGGGGTTGCAACACTTTGCACTTTCCCTGTGTGCAATTTTCTTTTTCCTTTTTCCTGGTGAGACATCACACCAAACTTTATACATTGACCTGTGTCTCCATGGTTACCAGACTTTCCCAAATTTAAGGACCGATCCACCCCCCGCCCTCCCCCAAGACATGTCCCCCCTGCATACATATCGATCGGCTTGTCAATACAACTTTATAGAATCGTTTCATTTCTGATACAAAGTAACAAAAAACATAAAACATGTTACATTGTTATCACCGATCTACGGATCGCAAGCTCTTGTGGTCAGAGCCCCGTCTCCATGTCTCTGATGGAATGTACCACACGTGACCCCCCTCCCCCAATAAATGAAATGACCTCTGTACAGCGCTGCGGTCTATGTCAGAGCTATATAAATATACAAGAATGTGAATGGTTTGGTGTCCGCCGTGTCTTACCTCCAGCTTCCTGTCTACTGAACTCCACCAGAAGCAGCAACAGAAGAGACTTTAGTAAGTTCCGGGATTTCATCTTTGCTGCGGCGCTCGTGTAGTCCTCTGTCCCTTGAAGTGGCACCGGGCTGCCCCTTGCCCAGGTCTGATGTGCAGTACTCAAGCCTCAGGTTCCTGCGGGTCTCTGTTCTATGCCACTGTTCTATGCCACCGTTCTCTGCTCTATGCCAATGTACTCTGCCAGTCTCTGCTCTCTGCCAGTCTCTGCTCTCTGCCAATGTTCTCTGCCAGTCTCTGCTCTCTGCCAGTCTCTGTTCTCTGCCAGTCTCTGCTCTCTGCCAGTCTCTGTTCTCTGCCAGTCTGCAGTTAGTGGCCCGCAGTCTCCTGCTCACTTGCCACGTGTTGGTCTAGGTGAGCAGTCTTCAGTGCCAGCTCTTCCCTGGCGGTCTCTCCTCTCCTCATTCCCTCTCTTTCCTTCAAGGAATGAATGAGTCACTCTCCTTTCCCTCTCCTGGCACTCTGGACTGTCTCTGACTGTCTGGAGGAAGGAGTGAGTCACATACAGACCCCCCTCTTCTTCTTCTTCCCTTTGCCCCTCTGCCCCTCTCTGTTGAGAAAACTGCCCCCTTCTCTACCAACTTCCCTAACTTCCTCTTCTCTCCTCCCCGGTGATGTCCTCTCTCTGAAACTTTTCTTCTCTGGGTCCCTCTGCTTCTTCTGTCTCTGCTCCCCTGTCCTCCTGCCTTCGGCTCCCTGTACTGGAATGAATGAGTCAGAGTCGGTATCCTGAATCCATAAGCTGAAGGTCTGTCCCATTTCCTCTATCCACCCCCAGACTGTGACGGAGATTAGGGGTAGAGCAGGGGAGGAGGAGAGGGAGTAACACGGAGAGGAGGGAGGGAAGACTGAGAGAGCCCGTCTATGAAACACAATTTAAACACCTGACCATGTGCAGAGCGGCATGAAAGTGTGAACTTTACCTGAGTGTGAATAGAAGGGGCCGATCGGCAAGAGGGGAAAACACCGCCTCATAGACTGCAGGATAGAGAAGAGTGTGAGGAAGAGGGGAGAGAAGAAAGGAGGAGAGGGAGAGAGAGGAACTGGGGAGAGAAGATGAGGGAGAAGAGAGGATAAGAGGAGAGGAAGAGGGGAGATGAGAAGAGAGGAGAGCAGAGAGAAAAAGAGGAGGGGAGAGAAGTGGAGAGTAGTGAAGAGAGAAAGATGGAATGAGAAGGAAAAGGGGAAAGAAGTCAAGAGAGGGAAAGAGAAGAGTAAAAAGAGAGAAGTAGGGGATAGAAGAGGAGGGGAGAGAGGACAGGAGAGGAGTAAAGAGAAGAGGTGAGAGGAGTGGAGAGAGAAAGTGAGGATGGAAGAGAGGAAAAGAGAAGAGAAAAAAATGAGCAGAAGAAAGGAGAGAGGAACTGTGGGGGGAAAAGAGGAAGAGAGTAGAGGAGAGAAAAAGAGGAGGGAGAAAGAGGGGAGAGAAGTGGAGAATGGAAAATAAAATGAGAAAGAGGAAAATGGAAGAGGAATAAAGAGAGGAAGAGAGAGAAGGAGAAGGAAAGAGGAGAGAGCAAGAGCAGAGAGAAGTAGGGAGGTAGAGTGAAGAGAGGATAGGAGAGGAGTAAGGAGCAGAGGTGAGAGGAGTGGAGAGAGGATAGGAGAGGAGTAAGGAGCAGAGGTGAGAGGAGTGGAGAGAGAGAAAGTGAGGAGGGAAGAGAGTAAAAGAGAAGAAAAGGAGAGCAGAAAGAGAGAGGAGACGCGACAGGGATAGAGGAGAGGACAGGAGAGGAGTGGCGGGAATAGAGGAGAATAGGAGAGAAAGAAAGGGTGGAACGGAAAGGCAAGGAGAAGAGAGCAGATAAGGAGCAGAGGTGAGAGGAGTGGAGAGAGGATAGGAGAGGAGTAAGGAGCAGAGGTGAGAGGAGTGGAGAGAGGATAGGAGAGGAGTAAGGAGCAGAGGTGAGAGGAGTGGAGAGAGAGAAAGTGAGGAGGGAAGAGAGTAAAAGAGAAGAAAAGGAGAGCAGAAAGAGAGAGGAGACGCGACAGGGATAGAGGAGAGGACAGGAGAGGAGTGGCGGGAATAGAGGAGAATAGGAGAGAAAGAAAGGGTGGAACGGAAAGGCAAGGAGAAGAGAGCAGGAGAGGGCATGAGAGGAGAGGAGAAGTAGGGAGGAGAGGGGTGAATGGGGGGAAGAGGAAGGGAATGGAGAGGAAAGAGCAGTGGTGTGTGGGGGGGCGGGGGAGGGGGGATGAGGAGAGTAGAGGAGGAGAAAAGAGGATAAGATAGTAGGAGATGTAGATATGAGGGAACAGGTCACGGGAGGAGAGCGAAGGTGGGTACTAGAGTGATGAGAAGGGAAGTAGACACATGAAAGAAGACTATGGAGGTGGAAAGGAGGAGGAGGGGAGAAGATCAGGTAGGAGAGTAGAGGGGCAGAGGAGAACAGGAAAGGTGGTGAGAGAAGAGGAGAGTACAGCAGTTATATAATAGGAATGGAGGAGAGTGAAATTGCAGCCAGTAATATGTTTCCTTGTGGACTATAATCCTCATCATCACTGAACAGTTGTAGTCCAAATTTTGTACATGTGATGACTCCCTCACATCATGGGTGGGGACATTGCTGTGCTTGTTGATGCTACATTGAATGTCTCATGAAAGGACCCTTTACACATAAACACTCCTGAATATCTTTCTTGTATCCTGAACCTTTTTCTTTCTCACGCAGACATTTCATCAATTCAACTCCAAATACATCTGTAAACAACGCCAACATCTGATGGCATCCCACATACCGTACAATCACATCCATCATGACTTCCATTCCTGCACTGGAACTGGAAATACTCGCTGGATTCATACAATTTTCTTGGAAACCCCATTGGTTAGATTTCCCCCACAGTGGTCTGTCTCTGCCCCTTCACACACGGCCAGACCTGGGCCCCAACCTTTTGGAAAGAATTAATCTGGGGGAACCATCCTCCATTAATCAGATTCAGGGAGACTGAAGTCTTTTGGGCAGAACACACAATAGAATTTAGAAGATATGTTGGGAATCACCACGCTTGAAACCACACACACAATGAGATCTTAGATTTGGATGGAATTAGTCTTCAATTATGGAACTTACAAAGGCCGAGATGACGTCTTCTTATGATATAAGTTGGTGAGATATCATCAGAACCTTTAGTTCTTCTTAACTTCTTTATCAGCCAAATAATGGAGCCACCCAAATGATGGAGTCACCCTTCTATGATGCATTCTCTACAAGCCAACGTAGACCAAAAAAGAGGAGAGTGACCCCTTCATCACGGGTGTTTTTGGTTGGTAGAGACACCAACCTTGGATGGACTTGTCTGTTAAGTTCTCATCCATCCAGGTCATGGTATATCTGTAAAAAATAAGTCAAGGCAACCGGACTTCCTGTCCAGTTGCCTTGACAGCAACTGGCTCCAGTTGCCTTGGTGGCTCCATTATTTGGCTTGATACAGCAAGTCCAGTTGCCTCGACTTTGTTTACAGATATCTTGGATGGACTTGTATCTCAATATATTAAAACAATACAAAAACGATTTTGTAAAATTGCGGCAAATTTTTGCAAATGCCGCTAGTCGTCTCCTACAACTAGATTATGGAACAAACCAGCTCAAGCGGCACAATGCAGTAAAGCAAAGCTACTTATAAAATTCCATCTTGTACCCTTTAAACCTCAGCGAAGCACAATCTGATAGGTTGCTTTTTTTATTGAATAAGCCCAACTGTATCCACGTGACAAAGGCCCCTCCCACGTCCTGCCCTGCTGCTGATGACAAATCCCCATGCTTCTGCTCGTTGGTTTATTTTTAATCCTGTGTATGGGGATCTCACTACAGAAAAAACATTTTCAAGTAGTCGGTAACTGATATCATGTGAGTTTCCAGGCGACTTTTCTCCCAGCAGAAGTTCCGCTTGGACTGGGGTAAGAGGAGCCGGTAAGGGTAGAAGGCATTTTTTTTTTGGGGAGTTTTGGAAAAACTCACCTGGAGGGAAATGTTTTGGCCCGGGTTGCAGAGATCATATATGGTTGGGTAATGCAGCCGATAACGGGTGCCAAGATTCAAAATAGCAATGTACTCACCCAACCTTTACAGCGATCACCCTCTCCACCAAGTCATGTGGGTCGCCCTGCCTGTCCATCACTTGCTCCTGTGTTGGTTATGAAGAGCAAGTCAACTAAAAAAGAAAATCCTCGCACTGCAAAGGCCATCATGTGGACATTGCAACTGCAGAACTTAAAGCTGAACACCAGTCAGAACCGAACTCTCCATTCCCCTTCCCTCAACTCAATGTATTCAACTCATTTCTTTATTAGCCTCAGCTGCTGTCCATGGAGACGTTGACCTAAAAGATGACCACCAAAGGTCCAATATCTTCTGCCTTAGAAGACCGTACGCCGCCATGTTCTCTTCATGAGCCAGGCAACCGGTCTTGTCAACGCCCTTCTAGAAGGGCTGAAGGTAAGTATTCAGACAGGTGACCACCATTCATATTGGCGGGGTGAGCATTTAGAAGACAACTTTCCTTGGAATTACTTTATAAATATTGAGCACATTTTGTGAAGATGTGTTTCCCCCATTGCCGGGGGTCCCTGAGCGGTTCCTGGGATTGGGCCCCCTTGTGCCACACCCTCTGTCTTCTGCAACGTCTCCCCCTTTTTTTTTTTAGTCTTCAGAAAAGGTCACGTGACATCAATGTTGATATCCAGCGCGCCGAGGTCAGGTCTGGAAAGGAAAGGATTGCATAATCAGCACTTCCTTCACTTGTCCCTGGACTGTAAATGTCACACTCATAAAGACATTCTGAGCTGCGTCTGGAAATTCCACCTAGAGGAATTCTAAGTTTGCCTAATTCTCGGCATTCTTCAAAGTTTTCACCTCTTGCAAGAATTTGTGTCTGCCAAAGAAGCATCAGACTCCTGAAGGAGGAATATTCATCGTGTGTGGAAGTAGATATAACATAATCAGCCGGAGAACAGCAAAGGGTTCTTATTCTTAAAGGGGCAGCGTGGTGTATTTATAAGGGGCATATACTGTATATATGGTATTGTAGCAATCACTTTAAAATATTGAATGTGCATTTTCTTATTGCATTAAATGTAGACATTTTGCACAAC